CCCCCTCAAAGCTCCCGCTATCGGAAACGGCAAGCAACGGAAAGGAACAAGAACACACACAAGGAGACGTAGATTGGTCATCTGATCTAAACCCCATACTAGACAGCCGCGTGAAGAAGTATCCGCGTGGCAGTCAACAATTCAAAGTACCGTCCATACGGTTCCCACAACCAACACCAAGGCATCCTCAAGTCACCTGAAGAGTGCAACCCCGTGCAACCCCGCCTCACCGACGGGTACACAAGGCGAGAAGAACCTCAGCGTCAGCGGACATTCGGAGTACCCCTCCGTTAGTCGGTCGTGGGAGGCACTGTAGTGAGCTGGACAAAAGCAGTCAGCAATTTCTGCTAAACCACTCCGCCACAGTGGTCTGTAGCGCTGTTTTCCACTCCTTGTTGCGCAGGCCCGCAAGGAAGTACTGATATCTCATCCGAGGATCGGTAACTTGCAGCGTCACACAGGTTTGAGATGACGTCTCCGCACACCTCTGTAGACATACCCTTAGACCATTTAGCGTTTCGCAGACGCTCAAGCACCTGCAGAGGCGTCTGACAGATGAACGGGTTGTAGAACCGGGTGCGCAATGCAAAGATCAACTTCTCGGCAATCTCGTCCCAGTCTTGTTGCAGTGGGTCTTCCCGTACACTCGCACTGATTGCATGACGGTCTTAACCGAGCGCTCTTGCTGGTCATTGGCTTGGGTCGGTAGCTCAACGTTGCCCTAGACCTTGATTGCATCATTTTGGTGAACGACTGGAACACCTCGCTCATGAATCGAGGGTCCCTGTCATGTCTGATGAGGGAAGGTGCACCGAACCTCCGGTACACGCATTCTTCGAAAGCTTGGTCTACTCTCAGAGCAGTCGTGTCTGCCATAGCTTTGCCCATCACGTACCCCGTGAATGCGCATTGGAATAGTAAGAGTGGTGTGTTATCCCGCCGAGACTTCCGTAAGGGTATTACAAAATTCATCGGAACAACCTGAAACGGCCGTTCCGCTAGTATGTTCCCCAGAGAGTATCCGCGGATCTTAGGTCGACTATTGCTTGAGCTACAGTCGGGACAGGACCGCACGTGCCTCGCTCCGTCCGCGTATAGACCGATCCAGTAATAATCCAACTTCACTCTGTAGAAAGTCCGAGCGATCCCTTGATAACCTCCTTCTAACGAGTCGTGACAGTTCTGTAGTACCTCTTGAATCATCGTTGAGGGTACTACCAGATGCAGCATCGCGTCTTCTTGCTGTTGGTCACTCCTCAGAGGCTCGTTCTCACGTAGTAGAGCACATTGTCCTCACTTAGGACGAAGAGATCGGACATTTTCCAAGCGCCTCTCGCTGCACGGTACGTTAGGGTTGATTCTTCCCCGCGGAGAACTATCTTCAAATTCGCCCACCGCAACTCCTCGTCCTGAGCAGTCGCAATTCTTCTTCGACGTTCTCTTTGGCCCATTAGGTGGTCCACGTCTTCCGCGTCAGACAACGCGGGGGTATTACCGTTGGGTGCCGTTACTCTGGACAACTCTGCTTCCAGACGGACCGGGCCCTCTGTTGGCACACCGTTGGCTCCCTCTCGTTGGGTTACATCTTCTCCACCTGTCACCGAGGTTTCGTCGGCAAATCTGACGCGTTTGGGCTTCGACCTAGCTTGTAATCTGGTCGTTACCGTTAGATCCCCTATGTCCCTTCGCACAAAATCGAAGAAAAGTTTTCGACGCGGCTCCGGGACGGTTCCGGATCGCCATGACGGTTCCATGTGTCGCAAATGCCGCGTCTGAACTTGCGCTTGTGCAATGCTAACCGAGGGTTCGTCCGCCGAGGACTCGGTGATGGGTGCATAGCTGACCTCTTGGATGTGGTTCAGTGACCTCAACTCTGCTAGCCTAGGCTCGTCAGATATAACGTTTGACGCCTTGTTTTCCAATGCTTCCGTTGCTAACGAGTCGGCCGACGCATTGTACTCTCGTACAGCATGTAGGTACTTGACTGACTTTAGTCGTGCAACGAGTTCTCAGTGGCGGTTGAGTTGGGTCATCAGCGACTCCTTCTTACACTCAATCACCCTAGTGACTGCTGGATTGCTAGTCTCGAATCACCAACAATGACAAGGTCGGTGGCACCAATGTCAAGTGCCGCCTGAACCCCATTGTTCATGCCCGAGTACTCGGCCATGTTCACTGTTGTTGCTTCGAGATAAGCACTCGCACCGGTGACTGTTGTCCAGTCAGGTAGTCGCCAGACAATCCATGAGCAACTACCGTAGGTACCGTATTTCTCGGTTTTGGCCGATCCATCAAACGAGACCACGAGCCCACTGTAGGATTGGGGTAACCGAGCGTAGAGCAACTGGGGGTCCATCCTTACTGTGGACGATCCTTTCGTGGGCGGACCAACGAGTCTTCCAGGTCCACAAAACTCGTTAGCCCAGCTTGCAAGACGGGGTCTGGATTAGATGCGGACTGTCGGTCGGCTTCAAATTTGGAACGAGACCTCGTTGAACTCTCTGTCACCCCTGTCTTGGTACGCTCAACGTCTTCTTCAGCAAGCCGCATACGCTCAGAGTACTCTTTCCAACCACCCTTGGGTTGAACGATCCCTATAAGGCGTTGTCCTTCATTCGCTGGTAAATCATAGGTGCATTCTTGAGACCGAACGCCATCCGGCGCCATTCAAAATGCCCAAGTGCGCAGACAAAAGCAGATACCTTCCAAGCTCTCTCCGTCATCATCACAGCCCAGAACCCGCTTGCCGCGTCCAGCGAGCAGAACCACAAGTACGCCTCCATGTCGGTCAAGAATCATCTACCAGAGGAATTGCATATTCCATAATAGTCATAACAGCATTTACTCGCTTGTAGTCGATGCACAGACGGATGTCAACCCCGTTCTTCTTCAGCACTATTACAATGGGTGATGTCCAAGGGCTGTCTGAGAACGATATCAAACCTGCTCGTAGTAGGCATTTCAGCAGCTCGTATAACCAGTACCCGTAGTGGCGTTCGGCGTGCCCTTTGTTTGATCGGCATGTGCCCCTGTACATCAATGTCACATACCACGCCGTAGGCTGGCGGTGGTAGTGCATTACCACTAGCAATCATAATCTCTTCATGACGCTGTAGAACCTCAACGAGTTTTCGTTGTTCATCTCGCCCAGACTCTCATTTACGACATTCGGTCCAGTGTAGTCTAGCACTGTCGACGAGGGCTCAGTCAAGTCTGGTAGAAAAGCTAACTCGTGAGCGTAGTCAGCTAGTTCCATCTCGTTCGGAATGTGCTCGTACCAATCGTCATCAGTGCCTTTGTCGCCGGCAGCAATTTCTACTTCGATCTCTTGCATCACGGAGACGTAGGTCAATTTCAACATGTCGACCGAGTCTCCGGCTAGATCTTTCTCCTCGTCCCCGGTGTCCGAAAACCCTGTTGGTTGCGTGTTGGGTTCCTCGCTCGTCTCTTCATCGACTCCTCCGGCGACGGAGGCCTCGCTGTCGTTTCGCATCCTCGCACTACGGTGGCTGTTCATGCCATCACCCCTGTCATCTGGTCCTGCATGGTCCAGTGCACTCTTCCTGGGTGCCACCGAGTCCTCGGTCGGCCTCGTTAAGATGCGCGCAGGTGTTGTGTACTCCTGCCGCTCTACCGCCGGTGGTTGTTCTGCTAACCAGCACTCGTAGAGCTCTTTTTCTGTCTGCAGCAGAGTGTCGTCTCGCCCTTCGGCGTATGCAATTACCTGCCATTCGTTATACTTACTCGAGTCGAGCCTGACATACCCCACTTCGCGTGGGAGCTCTCCCTTGGGTATCCACAGTACCCCAGAGGAGTGCTTGTAGCACCGAGCTGTCCTGTCCAAAACGTTCGTCAGGCGGACCCACACAGGCTTTCCCCTGCGGGAGTCCATCACCGTTGGTACCATTTGTCTGGTCCTTCTTATCCATAACTCGTGTGTCGCTCGCGAAGGCCTTTTTCGAGGCAGTCGGAACTCGCGCCACTCGCCCCGTGAGATGTACAAGTCCTCGGTCGGTCCACCGACGACTTGGCCTCCATATGGTTCGTCATCCGCGGCACCCGCCGACTTCACCAGTGGTACTGTGACCTCATCCGGCAGTCTGGCAGTGCCGTGGAATAAATCCAATCGTACCCCGGCAGGAATCATGACGTCCGTCCCAAGCACTACGCCAACGCCTGCACT